TACCGTTTGGTTCTACCACCTCAATTGACTGGAGTACATAATGTTTTCCACGTCTCTATGCTACGGAAGTACAAGCCACACCCTTCTCACATCATCAATTGGGAGGAAATTAATCTTGATGAGGATGTGACATTTGAAGAGAAACCTGTCAAAATTTTAGATCGTCGCGAGAAAGAATTACGAGGTAAAACTATACCGTTGGTTCGAGTTCTCTTGAGACATCGTGGGACGGAAGAATCAACGTGGGAACGAGAAGATATGATACGTGCCAATTACCCTCAACTTTTCGAGTCTAAAGGTACGAATTAATTTCGAGGACGAATTTTTTTTTAGGAGGGTAGATTGTGAAAACCCACATTTAATTATTCTTAAAAGAAAATAAATAAATAAATTAATTAATTAATTTTATTCAGAGTCTATCTAAAATATATAATAGTGTAAAAGTTAGTTCTAAATTAACCCAATTCAATCATTAACAAAGACATTATTAAGCATAATAATTTTGTGGGTATTCAATATTTATTGTTTATAAATTATTTAATTAGGATTCAACATGATAATTATTCTTACTAAATAACTTAGTTAAAAATTTTAATGTATCAATTTTAAGTAACTCACACAAATACACAACAACAAAAAAAAAAATAGCAGATTTTCGATGGCAAGTTTGCTACATGTTTGTTTGCATGTAAGTGTAGGAATTTCTAGATAGAAATTTTGCCATTGTTGAAATTTCCAGATGATAAAATGACTAATTTATAAATAGAAATTTTTATATACATGTATGTAAATTTTGTGATGTGTATACCAAATATTTGAAGATATTGATAATCTTAAAGTCATGGTATTTGTGTGGAAATAGGCTTGCATGTGTAGTTTATACCATTAAAGAGAGAATTGAAGAATTTATTTGGTCCTTGAATTTGTCAGAAAATTTGTACGAATTTTTAGAAAATTTTATACTCAAAATTTGAAGATGATTTCTTCTACAAAGTTGTTTATAATGATGTTTAGTTCATCCATGAATTGTTTGAACAATTATGGAGTTTTGTACGAATTTATACAGATTTTTAATCAAATCTGGAGCTATAGGCAGATTTTACAATGTGTTTGAAAAATCATTAAAAATTTTATATTAAACCAAATCTAGTAATTTCTAAACAAAAAATGAAATTTGAGAAGTCTAGTTTCATAATAAATTTTTATATTATGGCATTGATTTATAAATTTAAGTAAGGAATTAATTCAAGAAAATGTGATAAATATGTGTCATAAACTTTCTTGAAAATTTTAAGAATTATTTATAATTTATTTTTGAAAAATGCTTCTGAAAAATGACCATAACATGTTTATTGAGTATTCTGTAGATTTATATGAATTTTAGAGTTGTATAAGTAATTTATTTATAATTTAATTTGCAAGATATACATTCTGGAAATTTTGGCAAATTAAGGAGGAATCAAAAATTACCTCTTCAATTTTTTATTTGGACTAAAAATTTAATATTGTACTAGTCTAATCTTGTAGATTAAAAATCCATGCATGTGTGTAATTATGATTTATTGGTATCTAAATTATCATTTCATACCATGGTTTAAATAATTGTTTATTTAAATTTTGTACAATTATTTATTATTGTGTGACATGTGTAATATTTTATGTTAAAAATTTTAATGAGTTGGTATAACATTATTTGTAATTAAAAATTAAAATTATTTGTGATTAATATCAAAACTAACTGAAATGATTAACGGCATATACAAAGTTAACAATTGACGGTTAATACTAGTTGTTCAGGGTGAGTCCTGGTTTTAAAGAGTGTACGAAATTAAGGGTTAACAGTTAATACCCGATTGTTCAAGGTGAGCCTTGGTTTTGAGAATTATCACGTAAATTGTATCGCGAAACCCTAAGATGGCACGGGACTTATTTGAACCCTTTTCGGTATTCGGTTTTGGAATAAGGGTGGATGTGCAGGTGGCACACAGGGAGGTTACGTACACCTAGCAGACCGTTTCCTTGGGGCAGACCACGGATGCCACTACTTGGGTATATAATTTCGGGCGTGGGCATCCCTGGTAGTTACGGTTGGTAACATTTGAATATTTGACTAATGAGGGGTTTCAAATTAATCGTTGCCATTCTTAGTGGTTGGTAAGTTAAATCTCTTTGGTGAGATTTTGAGTGTCACCTAAATTATTAAAATTGTCAAAATTATTATAATGGTGGTTACATTTATCATGCTATTGAATTTTACTATTATTTTAATTGTCATGATATGATTGTTTTCTCTTAAAAAGAATGGTAGGTTGGTTACATTTTCTTACTGTGTTGCAAAACTCATGGCATATATTTTTGTTGCCTTGGCATTTCATGCCAGATAATGTCGAAGAAGGGACTGAGGCTGAATTTGGAGCTGCTACTAATACTGAACCTTGGCTAACTTAAAATCAAGACTCTATCGAAATAAAATTTTATTATCCTTGGTATTAGTAATTACATATGTTATAAAGTTATTGTAATATTGTATGTAGACTCGTAATTTAGTTGTTAAGCTTTGACTATGTAAAAATCTAAATTTTCTTAATTAGTCGTTAAAATTTTTATTTAGCAAGTTATTTGTTATTTAAATTTTATAATGTTCCAAAAAAAAATTTTAAAACATCACATAAACAGTTCAAATTATTGAAACGAACCCTAAAATGGGCCCATATACCCGCAACAATCACCCCATTTCCAAATAAGTCTTAAGTCAATATACGGGTAATTATCCCTAAGTAAATGGTGGACCAACATAGGGAAGGCCCACTGTATAGATTGGGCTTGGCCTTATAAAAGTAGGCCTTAGCCTCTTAGCTGGGGTACTATAAAAGAAATTTGATTGTTGTTTTGTTATCCAAGAAAGGGCGAAAATTCAAACCCACCGAAAAAAGGGGCAATGGGCTAGGATTTGTAGAGATCGCACAACGCATAAATGGGTATATTATACTTTTGCTCTCTAAGAATGGACTCTTTTTTTCTTGGATCCTTAAAAAAAATTCTTTTGCTCTCTAAAGGGTGGCTTTGTAGGGCGCGTCCTACATCGCTCCGTGGGACATTTACGACCCACCTTATAAAGCTGATTATTTCCTTCAACTAGCAGGAGGCCTTTTCATCAAGGGAGAACAAAGCCATGAAGGCATGATACTCAAAACAGACAATATTGTGTTGATTGTGAGTGGTTGCTTCAATGGCGCCGTCTATGCAGGGCCGGCCCTGAGTTTTCGAGAGTTTAAGGTGAAATAATTTTTTAGGACTTTTTAGATATTCATAAAAAAATAAAATAAAATAATCTTGTTTGGTTTAGATTTTTCAAAAATAATTATTTGAGTTTACAATTCGTTTTTTTTAATATTTTTTTGTATTTGGCAACTTTTTTTAAAAAAAAAAAAACACAAATATTATAGTTTTTAAGTATATCTAAATTAGATGTATTTACAAAATAAATAAATAAAATTACGTAAAATATTTGTCTATGCAGGGCCGGTCCTGAGTTTTCGAGAGTTTAAGGTGAAATAATTTTTTAGGACTTTTTAGATATTCATAAAAAAATAAAATAAAATAATCCTATTTGGTTTAGAATTTTCAAAAATAATTATCTGAGTTTGCAATTCGTTTTTTTTAATATTTTTTTGTATTTGGCAAATTTTTTAAAAAAAAAAACAAAAACACAAATATTATAGTTTTTAAGTATATCTAAATTAGATGTATTTACAAAATAAATAAATAAAATTACGTAAAATATTTGAAAAACCACTAAAAAACACACAAATGGGCCATAAAAAGATAAGGAAAAAAAATAGGCCTCATAGACATATACATATATTTTATATTTTATTTTTTTAATTGGACTAACAACTAACACTTATAAATATTTTTTAACTAGACCTTTTATCAATTGAACCAAATAGAACTTTTGAGGCATTTTAAAATAGCCTAAATTAATTAAACAAAATTGGGCCATTTTGAATTTTTGATATAACACAAGATAATGAATTTGGGGAATCTTTTTTTTTACCTACTTTTTGGGACCCTAAGCACAAGCCTCACTAGGCCTTAGCCCAGGGCTGGCCTGCGTCTATTAGAATCCCTCTATTCTCTAGTAGAAGCTTATTAGTCTTATGTGACTTTCCTACTTTGATCCAATTATCAACTATTATTAGGCTTTTGTGATTAAAATTATTAGGCTTACTTCGGTTCAATTATCAATTACTATTAGGTTTTTGTGAATTAAAAATGTCTCGTGGCAAGGATCAACCCCAAACTTGACCCATACTTGGGAGTAAACCATTTAAATGAGAAAAATATTTTTGTTTACCAAAAAGAAGTTGTCTCCCAAAAGATCATGCCACACTCACCTATTAAATGAGGTCTTCAACATCTTAGGTGTCGTTTGATGAATAAAAATAATTAATTTTTTGTTTTTTGTTCAAAAAATATAAATAACGAGTATTTTTTTTTTTTTTTGGCATATGTAAATATTATACAAACAAATAAATACAAATGTTTAGTTGCCAGAAGTAGTGGCAGGAACTAAAGTGACATATTATCTTGTAAAATCTTCTGATTTTGTACATTTATACAAATGTTCAATTTTGCACTAAAGTGAAGGAAAATCTATGGTGCACATTTTTGAGTATGCATCTTTAGTTACAATCTCTGTTAATTATGACATTATTTTACTTATGGTCCAAGAATTGTTTCATTATACCTCATGTAATGTTTTATTATAATTTAATTTTTTTTTAGTTATGACTCTTATAGTATTGAGTTATGCTATTTGTGATAATCAAACTCACAAATAACATAACTTACATATATAACATTACCCCTAAGTGGTCTAATTAAAACCTCTATATCTTCTGGTGATTCAATTTGTTTAACAATTAATAAACCTTCAACATTTTTTTCCCCTTATGTGATTCAGATAATCCCATTTTAGAAAGGCTAATTCCAGAATATTGAAAATTTGTAATTTTTCCATTAATATTAGAACTGTCTCTTATTCTAAAAGAGAAGCTCATCTTTCAACATACTAATTAGCATACAACAAAAAAATAAAATAAAAATAAGGAAGAAGCGGTAGGCCTAATTTCTTATACATCATGTATTATGTAGCATTTAGCCAATCCCCAAAGAACACAAAATTATAGCCAACTATACGTGTTAAATGTATTGAATGTATCATAATTTCTCTAATATTAGGGAATTGGTATGGGTGAATTGAGTTGAAAGGCTTGGATGAAATCAAAATCCGGCAAGTTGAGAGGCGGTAGAGAGAAGTGGCTGTATGTAGAGCTTCCTCTTCTAATCTCTTGCATAGTCAGCAGAGCTGCAATTGTATTCCTAAAAACTCCTTCTCCCGACACCATAATCGCCTCTCTTTCTCTGCGGATTATTCTTTCTTCTTCTTCAACCACCGGGAACATTGCATCAATGGTGCTTTCACATTCTTTGACAAGTTTTGATATGAGATCAGTTGTGTAAAAAGGTTGTTGCAACACATTCTGAATGAAGGGTGAGCGCAACAACCCACCAGTTCGCTTGTCATATTTCTTCAAGATCTTGGCCAACCCTGCAAAGTAATAAATTTCATTTTTTTTTTTTTTTTTTTTATTGTCTAACAATTTTGTATAGTGATAACACTCAACAAAGAAATGTGACTAGAACTACTAATTGAATTTCTATTTTTGCCATTTGGTTCAATTAGTATATCAATGCAATCTTAGGCTTCATAAATTTTTTTTTTTTTTTATATATATTTTTTGGATTTGGATATGACAAGAAAAATAGTCAATAAAAAAAGTTTTTCCATGAACAATGAAAGCTGAATTAATTTAAACGAAACCCTTTTCTATTTTTTCAAGGCGGAGAACATTTTTCTAATAACTATGGTCTTCTCAATGCCATCGTCATTGTCACCACCATCACTCGCCAATGCCACCACCTTACCACCCTGCCTCCACAACCACCCACACCACCCTAACCCAAGGCTACTATCGCTGCCACTACTGCGACTGTTGCAACCACTGCTAGCACACCACTTTCAAGTTTGCAATAAAATACAAAAATCCTTTATTACAAAAGACCTTTTCTAGAAACTATGTTCAGTAATAAAAATGTTTTTCTGCCTAAACAAACGTTATAACTTATACATCCATGTTATTGAAAATTTGATCGGATTTGATCTGATCCAATACGCATGAAGTATCCACATGGATTATTCGATAAACCCATGTATTTGAATGAAGGGATCTTATCTGTAGAAGATACGGTGGCTGTAGATGACTATATAAAGATAGAGAATACATTTTACACAACAATGAAGGAAATACTCTGCAGAAAAATACACAGTTCCTCTTTTTCTTCAATCTCTCTAAGGCTACCATAACTAGTGCCTCGTAACTTCAGAACTGAAAATTATGGGATAATTCTTGCTCATGTGTTTGTGATCATTCGTAGAGGCTCCTAATACAAGTAATAATTAAAACAACTAGGTAAACTGCTTCAGCTTGAAGTATATCGAACACCCGTCTTTTTTTTACACATGTAATGTCAATTGAGTTCAAATGGAAGTGAATTTCTTGTTCGCAAAAACACAAATTTGAGAAGAATTGAACATCAAGGAGTACCTGTGTAGTTAATATTGCTGTAGTTCATTAAAAGCACCATTTCACCATGGAAATTGACAATCTCTTTTCTGATTTTACCCATCTCCTCTTTGTAATCCATCTCTAATGGTTGACTTCCATTTGGTCCCCAAATCTCAGTCACTCTCTCAATCCTCTGTTGCAACTCCTGCAATCAACACATTATTAATTTTTATCTTTTTCACCACATTAAAATAACCTATGCAATTTTAATTTCACATACTGATGTTTATTCCCAATAAACATTTTATCTCAAGTGTCATAATCATCATTGTTACTTATGTCTTTTTTCTTTTTTTTTTCCTTTTTAATTAAAAGTTCTAAGAATTCTTGTTAAATATTGTCATTATCCATAACTTCAGTACACATCATTGTGTTGAATAATTCTGGTATTCCGAATTATTCTTTACATCAAATAATTCTCTAATCCTGAATTTATTCATTCATGCTTAAATTCGATGTGATTTAATGTAATTCGTGACCCTCCCCCCCAAAAAAGTTATGTCTATGCATTAATCTTATCACCAACTAGTAGTCAAATAATTCTTTAATCCTAAATTTATTCGTTCATGCATATATTCGATGTAATTTAACGAAATTCGTGACCCCCAAAAAAAAGTCACGTCTATTACGTTAATCTCATCACCATCTAGTAATTATTTAGCATATATTCTCATAACACCATATGATTATATGTTCATTCTATAATAAAGTTGCATGACTAGTCAACAAAATAAAAACAAGGTATAATCATGTTGTTGTGGAGTGGACATAGGGATCCATATTTTTCAACATGTTAAAATGGGATATGCCAAGTTTCCAACAGTTAGCTTTAACTTTAAAATTCCCTTCAAATTACAATAATTAAAGCCACCAAAAAAACAAAAAAAAAAAGAGCAATGCTATAGACCACTAATTTATCATCACTAATACCATCACTAGTGAGGTGGCAATTGAAAAAAAAAAAAAAAAAAAGGATGCAAAGTTTCCAACAGTTGGCTTATAACTTTAACATTCCCTTCAAATTATAATAATTAAAGCAAAAGAAAAAAAAAAAAAACATTAACATTCTCTTAATTTTCAACTGAGTTGACTCAGTTGACCCAACCAACTATTTTGGTCAGAAATGTTGGTCTTTGACTGAGTTCAAACTAAAACAATACCATTTTCAAACCAGTATCAGATTTAGATCTCACTAACCCCTTATTCCACTACAATTCACAATAGAAAAAACTCAATACAAACAAGAATAAGAAAACTAACCTTATGGCGGATAACGAAATCCTCCTCTTGTTCCATAAAAAAAGAGTTAAATTTCTCGATCTCATTGTTCAACAAGTACATGAACTCAGCCTCAGCCTTCCCAAACTCAAGCGATCCATTCATCATCGGAGGAGCCGAAGAAATTAACCTCAAAAGCTTTTTCAAATCCTTGTAGGACAGAAACTTGTCGTGCCATCCCGGCAAAGTTTCTTGAACTTGTTGCTTCAATCTCTTCCCAAATTTCATCCAACCCTTTTTCTTTATTCTCTCTCTAAACCCAGAATTGGAAGTGAAAAAGTTGAAAGGAAAAAGCCTAACAAGAATGAAGATTTGTCGGTGTGAGTAGTGAACGCAGTGAAAATAAGGTGTGGAGGAGTTTAAAAAGGAGGAGATAGAATATTTAGAGAGCATATGCTTAACGTGATGAAGTGGCGGTTGGAAAAAAGCATAAAAGAGCCGTTAAGGCGAAGAGAATTCGCGGCATATTCGGTTACTATTAGTCGCACGTAGACCAGGCTAGCAAATGACTTTTTTGTATAGACTAATTAGTGTCCCCATTGCGTGGTACCGCAGTAGGAGGGTTGGGTTTTGTTTTTTTGTTTTTGTTTTTTTGTTTTTTTGTTTTTTTTTTTTTTTAATATCTCGGCTCTGATTGAGGGGCGTTCGTGTTTGGGAATTGATTTTTTTTAATATTTTTTAAAGTTTTTTATGAAAAATTATATAAATAAAAGTAAAATTAAATGGATTAATTTTTTATAGTCTTTTTTTTTTTGTGACTATTTTAGCAAATTTTCAAACACTATCTGAATCTGGATCTTTTTTAGCGATTTTTTATAAGGTTGAGATTTTTTTTTTAAAGCGACTATTAATATATTATTCCCTCAATTTTTGTAAAATTAAATTTCAATCATACAAAATTTTTTGCTAAAATTAATTTAGAAAAAATCATTTTAAAGGAACCGAATTCGCGTAGACTTGGTCTTGACTAGTTCATTGAATAGATGTAATTTTGTCTCATATATATCATATAATTATTCAACAAAAATCTTAAGAGTAGTCCCAAGAAGTGGTGAATACTGAAATATTTAATTATTTATTCACTCATTGAGATTTAAACATTTGACTTTTTTGTATGAGAGTTTTAGCTTCGGCCAACTTGACAACCCAATTGGCTAATGGGAGGGGTAGTAACTTTATAGTTTGATTTTAATTTTTGATTTTTAAAATAAATAAATCATACTTCACGGTTCAGTTTGTAATTTTATAATTATAAATCCATTTATAATATAATATAATTTTTTTAATGTAATATTAAAATATTTTACTACTATCAAATATGTATAAAAATTATTTATTATATATTAATAGAATTAGTTTCAAATAATTATATAAATAATTTTTAAAATTATATGTAATATTTTGTGATCATGAATGTTTATATTGGCGTGTGAATGTTTACTGGTATGTAATGATAAGCATCGGACAGTGGGAAATGAGATTCTGGGGAAGGAATGATTCCTGGAAACTACTGAGAATTTACTGATGGAAAATTAAAAGAATAAAGATTGAGAGTTTTAATTTTAAAATTTTAAAGAAAATTTTAGTGATGTGATAAGGAGTAGGGTTTATATATAATGTGATGTGTATATCTATATTTTTATTTTTTTTATTTTTGTTTTTTATTCCTATTACCACATCACTAAAACTCTCTTTAAACCTCCAAAATTATAATTCCTTATCATTGTTGATATTGAAATGACTTGGGTTTTTCAAAGACGCCAAATGTGGGAATATCTTATTTTGGGGGGAATTTCTAGTTCTTGGAGATTGAAAGCATGTTCTCTACTAAAACAATGACTTCTTTTTCTGTTTTTTTTTTTTTTGGGTAAATTATACTTTCTTTCTTTAAAATTTAAAAATCTATATAATAAGGGAAGAAGGTTTTTGAAAATGTATAAAATGTATGTGAGATACATTTTAATTTAATGGCTGAGATTAATCCAAGTTTATATCAATGGTTCAGATCAATAGATCTCCCGCCCAAAGACTTCTCTCCCTAAGCATCGTTGTCGCTTTCCCACCTACCCACCTTCCCTCTCTATCTATCTCTTCCTCTCTGGTCTTCTTCTTGAATACATCTCTCTTTCACAGATAAGAATACATCTCTCTTTCACAGATAGATCTCTCTATTCCTCTTATCTCTTTCATACGCTACTCTCTCTTCTCTTATGATGATCACCGACCACCTCTCCTCTCCCTCGCCCGAGACCCAAATCCGAACCCTCTATTCCTGTCTTCCTCTCTTCATCTCCCGCTCCCTCATCCCCCTTCCCCATTTTAGGCCTTTGTTTTGCAACAGACCCATACTTTCTTCGATTCAGTGAGAGGAAAGAAAGAGGAGGGCATTGTCGTCCCGGCCCGCCGACGCTGACGCCAACGCCAGCGCCCTACCCCGCCGTCGTTGACAAGAAGGTTCGAAATACATGAGGTAAAAGGTCGCAGTCCACCTGATGAATTTAGATTCAATTTTGGAACTAAAATTTGACAATAGTAGATGTTGCTAAAACCTTAATTTTTTGAATCCACAAGTGTCTCTCTCTATCTAAGACCAAAAATGACTTTGACTAGAAACTTCCACAGCTTCTGTGATAGATTGGGATCAATAGTATAATGATTTCTTCATGATGGTGATTTCTTGATGATGGTGGTTATCAATAGTATAATGATCAATAGTATAATGTTTTTGAGTTTGTTTCATGGTTGCTCATGGTTGTTCTGATTCAAAAAATAGTATCTGTTTTTGATAGATTGGGGTAAATAGTAATGTTTTGATTGGGGTAAATGGTTGTTTTGATTCAAAATATAGTATAATGATTTTGTTTCTGATTCAAAAAACAGTAATGTTTTTTTTTTTTATCCAGTTAAATTCTCAACCTTAGAGCATTCTTTGTTTTTTTAGAAAATTTGTGTTAGAATGTTTGTGTTAGAAAATTTGTATTTTTTAATTTTGTTTTGTTGGGACAGAGTTGTTCGATGTAGTTGTTTGATGTTCTGATTGTTCTCTCACCTTCCCTGAGGCTTCAAGGTTTGATTGTTTATCTAGGTTTAAACTGGGTTTATTGTACACAGATTGAGGAAGAAGATAGATTATAACATATACATCCATCCAAATTCCAACATATTAACAACTTTTGTCATTAAAAATAAAGAGCAAAATTGGAGAAAAGTTAACCTTTGAGTTTTGGATAAGGCACAATCTCCAAATAATCTTTAAAGAGAAAAAAATAAAATAAAATTTGGCCAACTATGTAAAGGATGATGATTTAGAATGAGTATTTTTTGATAAACTATTTTGGTTCGAGAATGATTAAGTTGCTAAACTTCGATATAGTTTTTGGTCTTATAGGTGATGAGAACGCTAATGTTTTTGGATAGAAACATTTGAACAATAATAGATTGTGGTGCTGCTGCTGTTAAAGGAACTCATTGTTGTTGATATGTAAGCATTGAACCTTTATTTTGTTCATAGTCTATTACTTTCATTCGTTGTGTAAACTAATAGGGGTGTTGCAATAATCATTACTTTAGTCTTGAAGAATAGTAGTATGAATTTTTATGTGTCCTATTTTGGAAACTCTTTCCAATAATCATTACTTTATGTGTACTATCTAGCTAAGGCACTAAATGTTGATCTGTGTCTCTTCCCCAACGGAAACTCTTTCCAATATTTCTTCTTCTATTCAGTAAGGCACTAAATGTTAGCAATGGACCACATTTTCTTATTATTTTATTTTCTTAATCCATTAGAAATTATAGCAATGTGCTTGTAGCTAGATATTGACAGTGGCATGCAACAAAGGACACCGATTTATGTTATGAATTAAAATACTTTTTATTGATTTTATTATTATTATTATTTCCATTTTAGGCTTGATGTTATGGTTATATCTTGAGAGGTACTTTATTATATGGATTTGGGCTGCCATTCTCTCTCTCAATCTGGGTTTATTTCCTGTTCTTCATTTGGTTTTCCGCTTGGGGTTTCAATCTTTTTCTGCCTTTTCCCTTCTCTCTCTGTTTTTTTCAGCTCTGATGGTTGTGTTTATTTCCCTAGCATTAACCAATTGTGGTGCAACTGCTGTTGGGAAAATTGTGGTGCTACTGCTGTTGGGAAAATTGTAAAACACATGCTGCTATTGGGAAAATTGTGGTGTTGTTGCTATTGGGAAAGAATCGAATTGTTCGAGCGATTTAACCCCCGTTAACCAGGTAATTTGATTTCTCTTTCTCTCCATTTCTCTCTATCTCTATTTCTTTTTGGTTCTCCTTTCTGGAATAGCTATGCTCACATTTTCTGCAAAAAAAAAGAAAAAAAGAAAAAAAAAGAAAAAAGAAAGAGTATGAAGAGTAATTGAGTAATTGAGTAAAAAAAGAAGAGTAATTGAGTAATTGTATGTGAAGTCTGACTTCTTCCATGATTTTTTTTTTTTTTTTTTTTTTTGAAGTGTTGGTGCTGTGAAATGTTCTATTTTGGGGTTGGAATTGGATTGTTTTACTATGAAGCTTTTGGGTGGGGTTGTTGGCAAAATTGCGGGTTTAGTTGAAGTGCTGGTAAATTGGTGTTGTTGAAGTGCTGAATTTGGAGTTTATTTGGGTTATTAATAAATTGGTGTTTCATTTGAGTTTCATAGAATTTTGTTTCTTCCTGTGAATTCACTCCTTACTCTTTTAAAAGAAAAAAAAATTGTGTTGTGTTGTGTGACTCTTTTTAGTGTCTATCCACTTCAGATTTCTTTTGTTTGTACCAACTGTTTTTTTTTTTAATATTATAAAACTTGTAGCTTTCTTGCTATTTTGAGGTTATAAAAATATATAAGCCTTTGGTTGGATTATAAGGGGTGAGAAAAGAATGGAAATGACACAACACATCACATTGGTTTACTGCATGTAAAGGCATTACTATCATGGATATAAACTCTAAGCTATGAGATTGAGGCCCTTGATCACCCATTTTGATTTATTTTAATTCATTTTGGACCATAATGCATCTTGCAGGTAGTCTGTAGTTTATGGAAATTTTACTTTCCTGTATGATCCAAAGGTTTAGTCATGGAATTCTTGGGGTTTGTTTAGAATTTCTTGGCTGTGTCTATTTGTTTTTCCTCTCCCCTTCTCTCTCTGTTTGATTGCTAACTATTAAACCTATTTTGCTATCAGTTTCTTCATTTTCATTTTGGTTGTTTTAGGATCCGTTTGAGAGTGGAATGAACAAGAGCCTAATTTCCTCATGCTACGAGCAATTAATCAAGCTGTCATGTGCTTGAATGTTTTTGTTGTTTTATTTTATTTAAATTTTGTCCTTCACAAATTTCAATTACATTTTGATCCTAACATTATTTACAATGTTACTTCAGTTACCTTCATTATTATTTATAAAATGTTGTTGTCGGGTGTATTTTATTGC